GACGGAGTGAGACGCCGATTCAAAAAAAAAAAAACGAAATAATAATAATCTCCTTTTCTCACTTCCTACAACTTGTCCCTTATCTTTTTTTCAAAAGACTCAGTTTCTCTCACGTGTCAAGCTCTCTTTGCTGTCACATCTTTCAGCATGCTATTCCCTCTGACGGAATGCCCGTCCCTTCCTCAGTCGCCCGGCTTGCTCCAGTTCTTTTTTCAAGATTCAGTTCAAGCATTACTCTTTAGATCTTCCCTTTATCTACCCAAACATCTGTTTATATCTTTATCTTGCCTTTCCAAAGTCTTCGAAACTTTGAAAGATCACAGCTTGATGTTTTGTATGTCACAATACACGAAACATTTGTGTACACTTGCTAAGTACCACAGATGGCATTCATTTAAATCGAACTATTGGAAGAATGTGCCACACAGATGGTCATCTCGTTCATTTAGGGTCCTTTGGCAGCTGCACCACTGACCAAAATGGGCTCTGGAGAAAGCCCAGCATGGCCCTGGTGGCCCCGGGAGCCCAGATCCGAACTCACCCAGGTCATCTGTGGAAGGCCCGACATCAGCCAGAACTGAAAAGGCACAAAACAGCAGATGTGAGGAGGGCTTTGAATTTCAAGGGGGGAGGCAGGGTCAGAAAAGGGAGAATGGGAGACATTGGGGAAGGGTGAGGATAGGGCTGGGTTTGTGTTTTATGTATAAGGGAACAAAATGGCTTGAAGTAACTATGAATATTTTTTGAATATTAGTCCCACTGGCATTGTACTAATGTTTGCAAGTCTTTGTTATCCATGCCTCATTTTAGTTATTGATTCTTTTGTCCCCTTTTCAGAGGACTAGAAGGTGACTCCTTCCTGTTATCCCAGTGTCACTGAACAACATTCCCACAACCTTTCTATTCAGAGATTAAAATATAGGATGAATTCAAGAGCTGGAATAAATATTGTGAATATTAACAAGAATCATGCCATGTGTTAAAGAACTGTGGTAAAACTTACCTGTTTCATCTGTAGCAGGATCATTCACCAGATCTGCAAAGATACCCAAGAAGGAAAGAAAAATGCAGGGAGGAAAAATAGCTAAAGGAAGCAGGATAAAGGGATGATGATCTCAAAGGAGACTAGAAAGTTTGAAGTGAAAGCGTGTGCACTCGGGCAAATAAGAGACTATCACTGAAATAGATGGAGAAGATGCTGGGCTTGGTGTCTCAGCCTGCAATCCTTTGGGAGATGGAGGTGAGAGGATTGCCTGAGCCCGTGGGTTTGAGACCAGCCCGGGCTGCTTGGCGAGACCTCATCTCTACAATAAATCAAAAATTAGCCAGGCTTGGCAGCGCGCGCCTATAGTTCCAGCTACTTGGAAGGCTGAGGCGGAAGGATTGCCTGAGCCCAGAGGGTCCATGCTGGGTGGGAGATGGGGCCGGTGTACAGAGACGTTGACATCTAATTTGGAGAACAAGACAGGCGCAGTGGCTCACTCCTGTAATCCCAGCACTTTGGGAGGCAGACGCGAGAGGACTGCCTGAGCCCAAAGATTTGAGACCAATCTGGGCAAGATGATGAGACCTGGTCTACAAGAAATCAAAAAATTAGACCGGGCACGGTGGCTCACGCTTATAATCCCAGCAATTTGGGAGGCCGAGGCGAGAGGATTGCCTGAGCCCACGGGTTCGAGACCAGCCTGGGCAACTCGGTGAGACCTCGTCTCTACAATAAATAAATAAATAAATAAATAAATAAATAAATAAATAAATAGCCAGGCGTGGTGGTGTGTGCCTGTAGTTCCAGCTACTTGGAAGGCTGAGGCGGAAGGATCACCGGAGCCCAGCAGGGCGAGGCTGCGGTGGCCAGGAGTGGCCACTGCACTCCAGTCTGGGCAACAGAGTGAGACTCCAACTCTAAACAAAAAATTAGCCAGGCATGGTGGTGGGTGTCTGTAGTCCTAGCTACTTGGGAAGTTGAGGTTGAAGGATTGCCTGAGCCCAGGAGGTCAAGGCTGCGATGAGCCATGAGCCTGTCACTGCACTCCAGCCTGGGGACAGAGTTATACCCTGACGCAAAAAAAAAATTAAAAAATTTTAAAAAAAGAGCCCAGAGTGCCTAACATCTCCTTTGCAGTTTTTATTTTCCTTTGTACAAACATAATCATCAATCTATCTATCCCTAATAAGACAACAAACAAACAAACAAAACAAAAAGAGTAACTTACTAGGATCTTCTGTGAATGTTTCTTGAGTCACTTGAGTCACATCGTCTGAAAAAAAGAAAATCAGGAAACATTTCCTGAGCATTCTCTGTCGCTTCCCACCCTTCCACTCCCAATAAGTGAAGTTATCTAGCACCTACCCAACATAGTTCATACACCAACATCGTTTTTCCTCAGTTGCTTTCAGTAATCATAGTGGATTGTTGATCTCTTTGAATACTTATTTAAAATGAAAATGGGCTATACCAAAGACATTGTGAGTTTGGTATTTATGATTCTGGTACTTGGTGATAAATTTGCTGTGATATGCTTATATACAAGAGCATTCACACAAGGTGGTGTTGATGGTTTTTGGATGCTTCTTGGGAAGTGAGGTGGAAGGAAGGGAGAATACCAGTGTACACAGAGAGTGCTTTACGTTGGATCATTGGGAAGAAAAGGCAGGAGAAAAACTACAAATGGTCCAGGTCTTATGGTAGACTCTATTAGGATAAAATGAGTAAACTGTATCCGAACTGCCAAAAACAGTACTTCCTACAACAAATTTTCTCTACTTGAAAAATTAAAATAACAGTCTGGGCACGATGGCTCACGCCTATAATCCCAGACATTTGGGAGGCCAAAGCAAAAGGATTGCCTGAGCCCAGGGGTTCGAGACCAGTCTGGGCAATTGGTGAGACCTCATCCCTACCATAAATCAAGAAAAATTAGCCAGATGCGGTGGTGCACGCCTGCAGTTCCTGCTACTTGGAGGCTGAGACAGAAGGATCACCTGAGCCTAGCAGGTTGAGGCTGCGGTGGCCACGAGGATGTCACTGCACTCCAGCCTGGGCGACTGAGTGAGACTCCGATGCAAAAAATAATTAAAATAACAAAGCAGTGTTAATATTTACTTTTGTTTTTAAGTTAATATATAAATTTTATTGTATATATTTAAGATCTGTATTATGATGTTTCAATATACATATCTAAAGTGAAATGATTACTGCAGTCAAGCAAATTAACATGGTCTCCTTGTGTGCCTGTGCCTGTGCCTGTGTGTGTGTGTGTGTGTGTGTGTGTGTGTGTGTGTGTGATAAAAGCACCTGAAAACGTCTCTCTTAGCAAATAAGCTTTAAATATTTATCGAATATTCCATCTGCAATTACCCTTCAGTGTAAATAACTTATAGTCATAATCCACTCTGCCCACTAGGGGCCAGCAAATTCACATCATTTACTTTGACTTTTTTCTCTTTCCCACTCCAAGCTTCAGATTCTAAATGTCAGATGCAAATCCGGCGAGAAAAAACATTTTTTTTTTTTTTTGAGTTGGAGTCTCACTCTGTCGCCCAGACTGGTGTGCAGTGGCCGCTCCTGGCCACCGCAGCCTCGACCTGCTGGGCTCCGGCGATCCTTCCGCCTCAGCCTTCCGAGTAGCCGGAATTACAGGCGCGCGCTACCATGCCCGGCTGATTTTTTGATTTATTGTAGAGATGAGGTCTCGCTGCCCCAGACACGTCTCGAACCCGCGGGCTCAGGCAATCCACTCACCTCAGCCTCCCAAAGGCGCGGGATTACAGGCTGAGCCACCGAGCCCGGCGAAAAAAACATTTTTACCAAGGAGTCAGAGTTATCAATAATGGTAAGAAAAGTGAAACAAATAAAACACTCATAGTTATCCTTGCTTACCTCATTCTTGATTTTCTAAATTCCAGAGAGAAATTCATCGGATCTGGCAAAAGAGTCGCTTTGCCTTTGACACATGATAGGTGCTCTTCTTTCAAAACATTTTTTTTTCTTTTTTTTTTGAGTCGGAGTCTCACTCTGTCGCCCAGCCTGGAGTGCAGTGGCCGCTCCCGGCCACCGCAGCCAGCGATCCTTCCGCCTCAGTCTTCCGAGTAGCTGGAACTACAGGCGCACGCCACCACGCCCAGCTAATTTTTTGATTTATTGTAGAGATGAGGTCTCGCCAAGTTGCCCAGGCGGGTTTCGAACCCGCGGGCTCAGGCAATCCACTCACCTCAGCCTCCCAAAGCTCTGGGATTACAGGTTGAGCCATCGACCCCGGCTTCAAAACATTTTAAAATAAAAACTGGACACCATTGATTGGAAGGGCAACTTTTTTGGTTTTTGAGTTGGAGTCCCACTCCGTCGCCCAGGCTGGAGTGCGGTGGCACGCTCCTGGCCACCACAGCCTCGACCTGCCGGCTCCAGCGATCCTCCCGCCTCAGCCTTCCAAGTAGCCAGAACTACAGGTGCGCGCCACCACACCTGGCTAATTTTTGATTTATTGAAGAAACAAGCTCTCGCCAAGTTGCCTGGGTGGATCTCGAACTGGCAGTCTCAGGCAATCCACTCACCTCGGCTTCCCAAAGTGCTGGGATTACAGGCTGAGCCACGGAGCCCGGCCTAGAAGAATGATTTTTAATGAAAGGAATCCAAGTGTGTTCCAATCCCACAGGATATTTGATACACCACTGGCCAGAGCCTGTAAGAAGCAGGGCAGCTCTGGAGTGTAGCTGGGTCCCCAGAGGCCTCCTGCATCCCAGGCTAGACACACACAGGACCAGGAGCCGGGCCACCCGGCAACAGAGGGTGTGAGAGCATATCCTAGCCGCCTCCAGGACGTCAGCACAGCGTGCTGCTTTTCTGTAGAGACCTCAGTTTAACCTACTTTTCCAAGAGCAACTACCATATAAATGCTTTATTTAGGAACCGTGGGGTTCTCTGAATGGGAATCTTGAAACACCTTCACCGTAGCACATACTATTTCTGCTGGAAAAGCATCCCAAAGTCATCAAACGGGACTGATTCCTAAGCAGCCCAGAGAAATGAATTCAGATTTTTAGTTTTGTTGGTGCTGAAATCTGATCTAGATTCAGAAACCCAGGGATTCAGATATTTTTGCTTTGGTTTTTTTGTTGTTGTTTTTTTGGGGGGTTGGAGTCTCACTCTGTCACCCAAACTGGAGTGCAGTGGCCGCTCCCGGCCACCACAGCCTCGACCTGCCGGGCTCTGGCGATCCTTCCGCCTCAGCCTTCCGAGTAGCCGGAATTACAGGCGCGCGCTACCACGCCTGGCTGATTTTTGATTTATTGTAGAGATGAGGTCTCACTGTCCAGGCGGGTCTCGAACCTGCGGGCTCAGGCAATCCACTCACCTCAGCCTCCCAAAGGCGCGGGATTACAGGCTGAGCCACCGAGCCCGGCTTCAGATATTTTTACTAACAACAGAAAGAAAAGTTCTTATTTGTATATTTTTATTTTCTGGACCAGGACCTGCCATAAGAACTCCATATTGTATTGCTTACCCAAATGTAAAACTGAGACTTATTTTATAAGTTTTTATTTGTGTGTTTTTTGAGTCAGAGTCTCACTCTGGCACCCAGGTTGGAGTGTAGTTGCTCACTCACGGTCACTGCAGTCTTGACCTGCTGAGTTTAGGTGATCCTGCTGTCTTAGCCTTCCAAGTAGCTGGAGCCACAGACACATGCCACCATGCCCGGCTAATTTTTTGATTTATTGTAGAGATGAGGTCTCGCTAAGTTGCCCAGGCTGGTCTCGAACTCCCGGTTCAGGCAGTCCTTTCACCTCTGCCTCCCAAAGTGTTAGGATTACAGGCGTGAGCCACCGTACCCGGCCAGATAGATTCTTTAACTCTGTTCATCTACATTATCTGGATAAGAACCCCCACACAGCACATATCCAAAGGTTCACCTACCTCCTCGTTGACCCTTGACTCCCAGGGGCATCCAATCTGTAGTAAAAGGAGGAAAGACGTGAGTGACTGCAGCTCTATACCCCATAACCCTTTAAGGTGATAAACCAGAGAATGATGGCAAAATCGTATTCTTTATTTTGTGTTTATTCCTACACGGCTCAATACAAAACTACTCAGACCATTAGAGCCCCATACAAAACGGCAGGAGTAGAAACAAGAAAACAAGTTCCTGAAAACAAAACCCCGCTCTGCTCTGCCCCAACTCGGGATGGCCTCGTGCCCTCATTTCCAGCAAGGAATGGGGCCAGTTCCACAGAAGGGCCCAGCAGACTTTCCAGTATGTCTGTTCTTCCATCCCACAGACTTCCCCCTAGCTATAGCACTGAACGAGGCAGAAAGAGTCAAAAAGAGAGTAGGATTTTCTTAAAAATGTAAAGTTTACTTTCTGTGGCCAGTCTTCTAGCTAGATTCTTGGAAGTCTGTGACGACGATTTTTCTTTTGTGTGCAGGTATGGTGTCTATTGTCTGCACGCATGCGAATATACGTGTGTATATGCTGGTGCTAGTGTTTGTTAGGTGTTAGTGCCGATATCTCCAGCTTTCCTTCAACATTTGGTCCAGTTTCTTATCAAGTAGTCCCTTTATATCTGTGTATGCATTTGTATACTAGCTTCTTTGCCCTTTGGTGTTTGTTTGCTTAGATATTGATGTGTGTGAACCTCGTTGGGTGGTTAAGATGCAGGTTGGGTGTATCTTAGTTTTTCCTTTGTTTCTTAACTCTCAGAATGCATTTTCCCAAATCTGAGGTCTCATCACATTCCTGCCCTCTTTCTTCTGACACGGAATCTCTTCTCTTTCATAGCAATTCGAGAGCTCAGTACCAAGCATCTCTCCTCTTAGTCCCCCTCCAACCTTCTTCCATCCCGCTGTCTAACCCACAGCTCCACACGTGTGTACAGGTCCTGACACTCTAGGGAGAAAAGAATAAAGGTGGAGACTCACCGGAGGGAAGGATGAGTGCAGTGAGAAACAGCAGCATCTTTGGTCCCGAGAGCAGCATATCTAGCGGGGGAATGGGGAGAGAGGAAGGTGGTGTCCAGGCCAGGGAAAGAGGCCTCAGGGCTCCCGTCTCTTGGTCATCTCAGGAGTTTTCTTTGTTTCTCCTCATAACGCAAACCTTTTCTCTCCTTCCTTCCTTTCTTCCTTCCTTCCTTCTTTATAGAGGGGACACCTCGACATCTCGCTTTGTTGCGCGGTTGGTCTTGAAATCCTCGGTTCAAACAATCCTCCCTCTTCAGCCTCCCAAAGTGCTGGGATCAAAGCCACAGTAGTGGGGCTCGGTGGCTCAGCCTGTCAAACCCCGCTTTGGGAGGCCGAGGTGAGTGAATTGCCTGAGCCCGCGGGTTTGAGACTAACCCGGGCAACTTGGTGAGACCTCATCTCTACAATAAATCAAAAAATTAGCCGGGCGTGGTAGCGTGCACCTGTAGTTCCAGCTACTCGGCAGGCTGAGGCGGAAGGGTCGCCGGAGCCCGGCAGGTCGAGGCTGCGGTGGCCGGGAGCGGCCGCTGCACTCCAGTCTGGGTGACGGAGTGAGACTCCAACTCAAAAAAATAAATAAATAAAGCCACAGTGCCCAGCTCCCCTTCTCTCTTTTCTTACCTTTTACCCGATGTTTATTTCTTCTTCATCTCTATTCTTTGGTCACTTGCCATTATTTTTGCTCTCTTGACTCTTTTTAACCAAAATTTCAGAGGAAATTTTATATTCAAAGTGGTCCGTATTTGGCCCTCTCCTGTGGCCTGTTTCACCCTCGATGTCTATTCTTCTTTATATATATATATGTATATAAAAAACATATTATATATATAAAACATATTATATATATAAAACATATTTTTTATATATATATATATCTGTGTCTTTTTATCTCATCAGCATATCTTGGTGTCACCCCTTATTTGAATTTCGTGCTGAAGACTGAGTTCAGTGACATTCCCCATGGCTCTTCTCCAGCCCGTCAACACACACACACACACACACACACACACAGGCACGCACACACACATTCTCTGTCAATCTAGGGTTTCGTCTAATCCAACAACTCACCGTCTACGGTGTTCTGCTCTTTCCACCGAGTCCTTTGGCGGCTGGAGGTGTCTCTCTCCTCTCACACTGTTCCTGCTTTGGCTGGAGAATAAGACGAGCAGAGCCACTCCCTGGAAAGACCTCAGATTTGGCCTGGTCTGAAACAATGAGATGAGGGAGAGCTAGGGAGAAGGAGAGAGAGAAAGCCAGGCTGGAGGCGTAGGACTCAGCGTTGCAGCAAGCCTGGAATGAGAAGGGAGACGGGAATTTGCAGTCACTCACACCCTCGTTCCAAATGTGATGACCACACGGCTGAGAGATCTTGCCGCTCCCTGGAAGGCTCACGTCGGCCTTACGCCCATCAGCTTTCTCTCTCTCCTCTCACAAGCTGGCCGAGCCTCCCTTTTTCCTTGAGTTCCTTCTTACCTAGACAGCTCCATCTCATCCCTGCTCTGTGTCTATCCCTCCAGCTATCTTCCACATTCCTCCTCCTCTTATTCCTCCTTCTCACTTTCTTTTGCAACACCCATCACTTCAACACTCACAAATTCCATCGTATTCGTCTTTTTCTTTTCTTTCCCGCCTCCTTCTTGACCCACATGTTTAAACTCTTCTCCCCTCCCCCGTCCACCCCAGGAATATTCTATTTCTCCTCATAACCAAGCAAACACAGATACCACACAAGTTCTGTCCAAGAGGAAGGCTGGCTATCTTAGGGTTATAAAAAGTTGACGAATTCAGAAACTCTCCAACTCCTTTCCAAATGTGGAGCGCTTCCATGAAAAGGAGGTGCCCGCCTCTGTCTTTTGACTTTAAACTTATGCTAAGAATCTTGGTTTCTGGAATCTTTTTTTTTTTTTTTTTTTTATTTGTTGAGTTAGCCGGGCTCGGTGGCTCAGCCTGTAATCCCGTGCCTTTGGGAGGCTGAGGTGAGTGGATGGCCTGAGCCCGCGGGTTCGAGACCCACCTGGGCAACTTGGCGAGACCTCATCTCTACAATTAAAAAAAAAAAAATTGTTGAGTTAGGGTCTCACTCTGGTATCTAGGCTAAAGAGCAGTGGCACCATCACGGCTCACCACAATCTTGACCTCCCGGGCTCAAGTGATCCTTCCACCTCAGCCGACCAAGTAGCTGAGACTACAGGTGCCTGCCCCCACACCTAGCTACATTTTTATTTTTTGAAGAGATAAGGTCTTGCTGTGTTGTCCAGGCTGGTGCCAAACTCCTGGGCTCAAGCAGTCCTTCTGCCTTGGCCTCTCAAAGTGCTGGGATTACAGACGTGAGCCATCATGCCTAGCCCGGTCTCTGTAATCTGAAGGACAAAATGCTATCAAAAGTCCAAAGAAAATTGGGAAGCAAGTGTATTACGCTGGCCTATTTTCTCTCAGTATTTTTCCTTAGATCATGTAATATGTCATAACGCTTTCTCTGATCCAGACATTTAAAGACTTTCTATTTGCTCTTATTCATAGAGATTCTAGTTGTTAGATCACTAACGCGTCTTTGCTCTGGAAAGAGTAAACTTGAATTACAGACATTTAAGTCTGACAAATGGTGGACTTATATACAACAGAAGTGTGCGAATGTCCAGTTACCTGTTGGTTCTTTTAATCTACATTGTCTCCCTGATGAAATAAATTAGAGAGGAGTACAGGTAGACAGAGAGCACACAGGATTAATAATTATAGACTAGAAGAAAAAAGTGTAAGAGGGCTGGGCATGGTGGCTTGTGCCTGTAATCCCAGCATTTTGGGAGGCTGAGGCAGGAGGATTGCTGGAGCCCAGTAGTTTGAGACCAGCCTGAGCAGCATAGCATAGACCTTGTCTCTACAAAAACCCCCAAAATTAGTCAGGCCTGGTGGTGCACGTCTGTAGTCCCAGCTATTCAGGAGGCTGAGGCAAGAGGATCTCTTGAGCCCAGGAGGTCGAGGCTGCTGTGAGCCTTGATTGTGTCACTGCACTCCTGCCTGGGTGACAGAGTGAGACCTTATCAGCCAAAAAAAAAAAAAAAAAAAAGTTAAGTGGAAGGAAAGAAGGAAGAAAGAAAGGATGGAGTCTAGTTGAAAGGGAGGGAGTCTGATTGAAAGGAAGGGAGAGCCAGGTGTGGTGGCTCATGCCTATAATCCCATTACTTTGGGAGACTGAGACGAGAGGTTTGCCTGAGTCCAGGGGTTTGAGACCAGTCTGGGCAACTTGGCGAGACCTCATCTCTACAATAAATCAAAAATATAGCTGGGCTCGGTGGCTCAGCCTGTAATCCCGCACTTTGGGAGGCTGAGGTGAGTGGATTGCCTGAGCCCGTGGGTTCAAGACCTGCCTGGGCAA